ATAGTGATAAAACAACATGTGTTCAGTACCATAAAACTGTTCCTGCCCAAAGCAGCCCACAAACTCCACGCACAGAAAACACAAACTAAATGCTGACATCAGAGAAAGATTCTGTTTTGTTGTAAGAACAAAAAGCAAACAAACATTTTGTTGTAAGGAACAAAATGTTGACCTCTGCAAATTTGGGAAGACTTCAAGAAACAACATAACTGTGGGGAAAAATGTGCAGGGCAGCAGAATAAAGCGGTATCTGGCCTCTAAAGGCCTACGCAGCACTGCTGCCCTCCAGACTCCTCGCACGTCCCTCGCCACTTCCACACGCCTCACAAAGCAACAAGCCCAGTACAGAAATAAGTTTCAGACCAATACATATACTACCATATATCCCAAATCTCTACCATTCGTGAGTCACTATAAATACACATATAGACAGATGCCCCCCTCCCATTTGTCAGCACCCCAAAATACAAAGGAAAAACAATTGCTGAGCTGGATTGGCTGAGCATATTTCAGCCAACTTAAGAAAAAAAAAAGTCAAAATAAAAAGTTCAGGCAGGGAGTTCAACAGAATGAGTCAAAATTCATCAGTGACATACAAACTGAATTTTATGAATGTATTTGAAGTTTTCCATGCGGTCTCTAGGTCACACATTTTAACCGCATAAACTGCTCCCTGGAACCTTCAAATAATCAACATTGTGGTTTTTTTCTACTTGCTAACTGCATTGCCCATGAGCCACATTTTACTCTGTAAAGTTGAAGAAAAATTCTCACAGGCTTTTGTTACTGATATTTACTGAAAAGAACTTCTGCAAAAAAGCGACGCAAATTTTATCAATGAAAAGTTTAAGAGTTACTAAAAGAATATAATAAACAATTACAGCTTTTTAATGAGATTTTTGTTGGTCAGACATACCCCAGACATTTCCAGACATGACTAAACTCCAAGATTCCCATTTCCAATTAACACATGTGTGTTATCCAATGAGCCCTTCCCCCCAAAGCCACTCAGCATGCGATTACTGCAGAATCTGATGGTCTTTAGTAGAATATTTGGCCAAACTCCAGCTCCACCAGCCTTCATGCTTATTTTTATAGGCACAGCCTCCAGCTTTGCGCTCTGGTATGCAACCTAACACCCAAGTTCATTAAACTTTCCATCAAACACACATAAAATTGAACAACAGGTAATCAAGCCGTAGTCTGTTCTCTAACTGTTAGGAGTATTCTTATTGCCCTGTTTGCACCATGGCATGAAACTTAGCTAATTTTCTTGAAGGGCTTACAGTGACCATGCCCAGGATGGTACAAGAGGACCATCAGGGGATCCAGATCTGAATGCTCTTGCAAGGGGAGCTCTTATGGACAAGATCTGGAATTTCAAAGGGGTAAATGGAGCGGGCACTAGGATCTCCAACATCAAACATTCAGTGTCAAACATAACTACTGTGAAAGAGACTAGAAAAGACAAAAATTGTATTCTCTTCCAGTGGAATGAGCCCATTTATCTTGTCATCTTTGGCTATGGGGAGAGATTTGGCACTATTCACTGATGGCTCGATCTGACGCTCACGTTTACCTATCAAGACTGGCTAACACAATTATGCAACGTCTGGCCAACTTTACAGCATTTTCAAAGCTATCCGTGTTAAAGGTCTCATTCCTCACAACAAACCCTTTTGAAGGTTGTAACTGCAACCCTGTTTTAAAACTAACATATGTAGCACAGACACAGCCATCAGCGCACAGAAAACTGCTTAGAAACTGATGTTGAATAAGCCCTGGTTTACTGCTGCAGAAACATTTCAATCCGTTCATATGGCTTCAGTTTGACTTAGTTTTTTAAACTTGGACACAACTTTTGGTAATGCCTACAATGAAGCACTGACGTGAGGGGTGAACTTAATCCCACAACCGAGCCATGAAAGGACAAATCCATTCCTATTGCCCTCTGAAAGGATCCCAAGAGGTCAACTTGCATAGCTTGCTAGAGCTGAAGAAATCTGCAGTCTTTGTTAAGCACCAACAGTAGCTCTTTAATAGTCCAATTTGGTTTCCCCAGGATAGCATGCAAACGACAGATTTTACACGGTAAAACAAACATTACTTCCAGATGTAACCAAGGCTTCATTGTGCTCATCTGAGTCTAAAAACAGAAATGCAAAGCATAGTTTTCATGAGTGAGATTTGGGGAGAAGAGAGTGGGTGGCAATAAGGAGAAGGGAGAGAAGAGTTTGCACTTGAAAATTAACGTGTGGTTGTTACTGTAAGCACCATTCCAACTGTTACTGTTTTAAAAGTTTTCTAAAATACGCAACAGTGGCATGAAATTTGCAGGGCAGCAGAACTCAACTGATACAAAAGGCGATATTATTCCTTTAGTGATTTGGTAAATAAAACCATGTAGCATCACAAACTAAGTAACTTTCATACTTGGTAGCAGCATGTGGCACAGACATAAACATCTATTCTTTCCACCACTGATGTAGTGCAACATTTTGCCTTCATAGTGTGGATTCACAAACAGTACTTGTGAGACCTTAAAAAAAAAAAAAAAAATCAATCACATGATCAAACAAACCTGGAGATAAAAAGGGTAAATGATAGTGCAACAACTACAAGGAATGATTCGG